TCGGCAAGGGGAGCACGGTAAGGATGCCACCGAGTCCAACAGCAGGCTGGCCGAACCGTCGCAAAGACAGCCTCTGGAAGAGAGGCTAGTTCAAGGAACCATCCACGTGATAGTGGAAGGTTCGGTAGTAGTGGGTTGTACTTCAGCAGTGGCCCGGGCGTCAGTTCACGAAGCTGCCCGAGAAGAACAGAACCCTCCGAAGAGAGTGAAGACGGAGGAACCAATTTTCTTCACGGAAGATGATGCGCGAGGGGTCCACTACCCCCACGATGATGCGCTTGTCGTAAAACTAAGGATCAACGACTTCAAAGTCAGGCGCGTGCTTGTTGATTCAAGCAGCTCGGCGGACATTCTCTTCAAGTCGGCGTTTGACCAACTTCAGTTGCAGAGAAGCGAGTTGAAGCCCGCAAACACTCCTCTGGTGGGCTTCAGCGGAGAGGAAGTCAGGCCCCTCGGGAAAATAACAGTACCTGTGGAAGTCGGCACATGGCCCTGTACGGTTAGACTCAACCACGATTTCCTGGTGGTCGCGACCCCCTCCCCATACAATGCCATAATAGGGCGGCCAATCACTCATATCCTACGGGCAGCGGTCTCCACCTACTACTTGGCAATGAATTTTCCTACAGACTTCGGTGTGGGGGTAGCGCGGGGCGACCAACTTAAGTCCCGCAAGTGCTATGTTGCTGCCCTGAAGGGAAAAACCAAGGTGGCTGACGACCTCGAACTGGAGCGGCTTACGGAGCAAGGCGAAGAACGAGCTTCGTCCAGAAAAGAAATGGTCGCAATCCCAACTTCAGCTACGGACCCGGCTCAAACACTACAGATCGGTGCTTCCGTCCAGGTCGTCGACGCGGACCCGGCTCGGGCTCGGGTGCCATGATCTTACGGAGAACCAGGTCGCCAACGCAGAAGTTCCACTTTTTTACTCTAGCATTGTAGTACCGAGCTACTCTTTGCTGGTAAGCTGCGGTCCGGATGTACGCGAGGTCTCTTACCTCGTCCAGTAGGTCGAGTTTGGTACGTAGCTCATCTCCGTTTGTCTGATCGTCGTATGCTTTTAGTCGTAGTGTAGGTACTTTGATCTCCGCTGGGATTACCGCTTCAGTGCCATAGGTGAGGTTAAAGGGGGTCTCTCCCGTGGCGGTTTTTTCCGTAGTTCGGTGAGCCCATAGAACACTTGGTAGCTCGTCTGCCCACAACCCTTTAGCTCGGTCTAGTCGCACTTTCAGTCCGCGAAGGATAACTCTGTTCATCACTTCTGTTTGACCGCTTGCCTGCGGGTGCGCGACCGATGTGAAGTTTTGCCGAATCCCCATATCTTGGCACCATTCCTGAAACTTGATGTCCTCGAACTGCTTGCCATTGTCGGAGATCAGTACTTGAGGTAACCCGAAGCGACATACTATGTTCTTCCAAAAGAAGTTCTGTACGTTTCGAGCTGTGACTGTTGCGAGAGGTTCAACTTCTACCCACTTTGTGAAGTAATCTACCGCCACCACTAGGAACTTHMYYCSRCYTRTTGCWRGYRRGAATGGCCCCAGGAGGTCGATGCCCCATTGCGCAAAGGGCCATGGACTGGTGAGAAACTTGAGGTCGGTGGCAGGCTGATGGTGGATATTGACATGCTTCTGACACTTGTCGCATTTTTTAACGAGCTCGATGGCCTCTGCCTTCATCGTTGGCCAGTAGTACCCTTGTCGAAGTGCCTTCTGGGCGAGGGCCCTGCCCCCCAAGTGTCCGTCGCACAGACCTTCATGAAGCCAAAGTGGCTAGTTGTAAGTAGACCTGTTCATGGCCCGGCTTGGCCCCCGGACGGGCTTGAACACGCATATGGGCCCGCGGGCTTAACCCCAAAAATCCCGGCCCGCAATAAATTTGAGCCGGGCTCGAGATTTTCCAATATAGCCTGGCCCAATCTATAACTAAACCTAAAAACCCTAGTCGAAGACCCCCTCTTTTTTTCACCTCTTTGCCTTTTTCCTTTCTTTTTCCAGCCGAACCATTCTTCTCCACATCCTCCACAATTCTCATCCTCACACTCTCAGGCAGCCACACAACCGGTAAGGCGGCAAACGTTCACCGACGCAACAACTCCGGCGATGAGTCCTCACTCCTCTCCTTCTCTCTCTCTCTCTCTCTCTATATATCTTTCTCTTTCTGATTCTCTCGTTCCTCTTCTCAAATCTCACTTCTCTTTCAAATCTCAAACATCGGCGACGGCGAGGCGACGAGTTCTCTCTCTCTCTCTCTCTCTATATATCTTTCTCTTTCTGATTCTCTCGTTCCTCTTCTCAAATCTCACTTCTCTTTCAAATCTCAAACATCGGCGACGGCGAGGCGACGAGTTCTCTCTCTCTCTCTCTCTTTCTCAGACGCGAACTGATCACTGTTAAACTTAAAATTGCAGGTCGCAACTCATAGACCACAGTTACCGCGAACTCAATTCCAGCGAACACAATCACCAACGAACACAATTGGGCTTCGGGCTCGGGCTCAGGCTTTGGACTTTTTATCAGGATCGGGCTTGGATCCAAGTTATAGGCCCATTGGTCGGGTCGGACTCGGACTTGAACCTAACAAAATTTCATTAATAAAGAATTAAAGCTCGACCTGGCCCGGCCCATGAACAGGTCTAGTTGTAAAGGGCTTATATGTGTGGGTGGATTCCGTGTGCGAGGAGATCTTGGTTGGGTCCAGATTTAAAGAAAGGAAGCTTCCAAGCTCTAATTTACCCTCTCAAATCTTAATATAATAATCGAGTTCATTCCCACCATCTGGTGTAGTGAGGGATTTTGATGGGGACCCCATCACGCGCCTTCTAAAGGTGAGGTATGAGGCATTTTGCTCCTTAAGGCAAATTTCTTAAATTACCCCTACTAATTGACTAACTATACTTTTACTGTTCGCATATTGTTTAAGTACCTTTTAATTTTTCTGATAATTGTCTAAAACTTTTTTTGTCGTTAACTTCGTTCACGTGTGACTGATATATTTTAAAATTCTTAAAATACCCTTCTTGTGACCTGTTTAATGCCCTCCCGAAAATCGGTTCAACAAAAGCCTCGTCACCACCTCCAACCAGAGCACCGGTAACTACTTTGTTAAATCTCTCTCTCTCTCTACAAAGGGAATAAGTCCCCCATCACGAATGCCGGAATGCCGGAGCCAAAAAGCCTTTGGTTTGTGTTTTGAAAACCTGGTATGGAGGTGTCAAAGCAGAATGCTGCATGTGCTCTACTCAGCCTCTCATTAATCGAAGACAACAAGGTTTCAATAGGTGCTTGCTGAGTGATCTCACCTTGGTTTCTTTGCTCCTGAATGGATCAAATCGAGGGAAGAAAGACGCGCTCATAACGCTCTACAAGCTCTGTTCTATGAAACAGAACAAAGAGAGGGACGTTAAAGCAAAAGCCGTGTAACCGTTAGTAGACTTAATTTCAGGGTAGGGGAAAAGTTTGATGGAGAAGGCGATGGTGGTTCTGAGCAGCTTAGCTACAAGTCAGGCCGGACAAAAGAAAATGTCCAACAAGAAACCACGCTCTGGATGCCACAAACAAACCCCATTCAATGCATACCCTACAAGAGAACCATAAGAACCTAAAGATCTCCCACTTGATTCAATAAAGACCACTTACAGAATCAACAACAAGCGAGGAACAGAAAATAAACTATGGCACAAGAAAGATCTAATAATGCGATGGATAATAAATTTAAAAAAATTGAAAATGGAAGGCTCAAGCTCAAGCTCCATTGGCAATACTTGGTAATGGAGTAATCTAGGCTTTTCGAATCTCCAAAAGCAGCATACTTAGCTCAGGTTCAATCAATTCCTGCTAAGAATCTCCCTGGAGCTGAGCCAGAGAGAGAGAGAGAGAGAGAGAGAGAGAGGAGGTGAATCATGGCTAGACTTAGAGGAGGCTCGCCAACTAATAATTAGTTGTGATGTAGTGATTTTCCAGTGGTTGTGCGGCTACAATTCCAGAGGGTAAAACCACCATAGTCGAAGAAGGAGGAATTGCAGCTTTGGTTGAAGTGATCGAAGATGGGCCGGTGAAAGGAAAAGAGTTCGCAATACCGACGCTTCTCCAACTATGTGCGGACAGTGTATGGAACAGAATGTTAGAGACATAAAGCCTCTGGTTTATGTTATGAAAACTGGTATAGAAGTGCCAAAGCAGAACGCAGTATCTGCTTTACTCAGCCTCTCATTAATCGAAGACAACAAGGTTTCAGTTGGTGCTTGCAGAGGGATCCCGCCGTTGGTTTCTTTGCTCCTGAATGGATCAAATCACAAACGATAGCTATTGCAGTTACCTTTGCAATGCCCGCAAAAGAACAACGAGCAGGGGATCGATGGATGGTTGTGGAAGTCCGAAAATGATAAAGCGAAGGATAAGAATGATGGTCGAGGTAATAGGGGTCGAAAAATTGGCGAGATGTACACCAGAGGTGGGTGAGAACGTTGAGAAAGTACCGCTGCCGCTGTGGCTTCTCTGTTGTCATTGAGAAAATGATGAACGATGGGTAAACGAAGGGAGAAAGAAGAATGTAAAGGAAGAGGATGAGAAGAGCGACAGATAGAATGGGAGGAATGAATGAGAATTGTAGGGAAGGGAAAGGGAAAGGGAAATGGAGGCGGAAACCAGACAGAGATAGAGATAGAGCAGTGATATGCTTTATAAATTTGACATTTCATTTTTTGTATTAACACTTAACGATGATATTAATTAGGTTGTGCAAGACAGACAATAGTTAAACAGTAAATTCAATTAGCTAAACATCAGGGATAGTTTAAGAAAATTGCACAAAACATAATAATCAAAGGATAAGGATTGTAGACTAGTGTATGTAAACCGGCCGTTGAATGGTTGTATATTCCAATTTCCAACCCTTAAAAAACCACAGTCACGCCTAGATTTAATTTCAAAAATAAATACAGGTTACGTCATGCCAGTCGGTGAATGGGGGTGGTGCATCTGGAAACAGAAGCTCGCATCTCATTTAATCAAGTCAAGAGTTTTTATATATAATATACCGTCAAAAGGAAGTGGGCATGGCAAACATGCCGCAACATACAACCGGCCGAATAAAGTACATTATTTTATTTTCAGCATCCACACCTGATTTTCAATCAAGTGGAACTAACTACCATCTCTCACAACAATTTCTCTCATAATATGTAATATATATAGAATAGAAGGCCAAGCCTAGCGGGTGCTAATCAGCAACCTCAGCATCAGATGGCCGCATCTACCAAAGAGGGCAGAGCTGAGAGCTTCTCTCTCTCTCTCTCTCTCTCTCTCACGGTCTCACCTACCCTGCCTCTTATATATATATATACCAACTAAATAAAAAGAAAGAAGAAAGAAAGTAGCATAGAATAGATACACAGAGAGTTCCTTTAAACCACACTAGCTTGTTTGCAATAAGACAAGCTAGGGCCTAGAATTGGCCTCCTTGGAACGTTTGTCCGAACTGCCAGCCAGCGGGTGCGACGTTGTAGCTAGTGACGGTCCTACCATCGCTGGTGGTGACTTGGAAGGAGAGGCTCTGGCCATTGAGGTAAGAGTTACTCTGCCAATTTTGGCCCCAGTTCCTTGACATGGATTGCCATCCTGTCTTGGAACCTTTGATCGAAACGGAATGTACATCCCCTGCACCTGCGACGTTGGTGATCAACACCAAGTTGAAGTAAGAGTGGCCGTTGATGGTGAACCTTATTCCGCCTTTCTTCACACAAGGAACCCTGCACCCAAAATGGGGAATACAGCGTTAGCAGATAGTATATATAACAGGGTTGCTCTAGCTGGTATAAACATAAAATATGCATATTCTAACCTTCTAAAGGCCACCGGGACGATTCCGGCTCTGTATTGTGCAATTTGCAAGAAAGCAGGCTCCGCCAAGTCGAAGTGCTGGAGAGGAGGATTGCACCATCCCCCATTGTCATTAGACAAAGCAAAGTTGGGTGGGCAAAAGTTTGTTGCAGTAACAGTTATGGTTCCAGGGAGGCACCATTTTGGGTCGTCGTTGCATCTCATCTCATAGCACGCCCCACAACTGAACCCATTGTTGAACAGAGCAGTGCTTAGTGCTGCAGTGTTAGTTCCATACCCCTGGCTGTACAAGTTACCGTACCCGCACGCTCCCCCTGCAAACATTACATCCCGTGAGAAATCGCAACATAAAACAGAGGATCGGTCTGGTTATGAAGCGATCCGGCTTCAACTTACCCATTGTGCCAGAAGCGTCACCACCACCGTAGAAGGTGGCGTGACCTGCTATCCAGCCCCCGTAGTCCCCGAAGGTTCCTCGTAAGCATAGGCTAAAGAGAGAGAAGAGAAGAGGAAGAACAGGATACGATTGAATTTGAAGGGCCATTTCAAGGTCCTAGAGACTCTTGGGAGAGGGAGAGAAAGAAATGCAGAAGAGCTCAACTCAAAACAGGGGAAAGATAAGAGATGAAGAGAGGGGAGGAAGAGGATGGGGGGAGGGGGGTTCTTGTTGTTCTGTTGTATGGCTGAAGTGAGTTGTTGGTTTTTGGTTGTTTGGTACACAAAGAGGAGGAGGGGCCTATATTTATATAAAGAGAAGCCCACACTTTGAAGTCTGAATCTGAAATTTGGAAGAGGAGGTGTGGGCCTGCCTTTTGTAGGCTTCCTTTGTATAAAAACAAAATAGCGGCCCTCACGTTTGGACCGTCCAAAGCCAGGTTGCGGATTTGAAGTAATTACACGTATCAGGTGCACATGCAAATGTTGCAGTTGGGTTACCAACCGCTAAGCCTCATGGGCCCCACCTGCACATGCCTTTCTCAACGGCTTCGTCTCTCTCTCTCTATTTATTTATTTATTTTTGGCCCTCCTTTAAATCAACCCCCTATCGGCGGCTCTCGGGAGTTTGTAGTTTATACGCGTAATTTCAGCCGAAATATTGAAATCCAATTTGTTCTTTTCTTCTACTCAGTGTCTGGTGGCAAAAATAACCCAAGGTTTTGCCGATTATTTAGGTCAAACTGGGAGGGAGTAATTTTCCATCATTAAAGAGATTTTCCTTCTCCCACGATCATGTTACATGGTGTCCTACGTGGCTGGCTGACGTGTGTCTTGCTTTGTTGGACGGTTCAGTCACGTGAGGGAGTAGAGTAGATCAATTAGTTGGCTAGTGACGTGGGCGGTGGGTCCGACTGATAAAGGGGTCGGTTTGATGATTTGGCAGCACTGACTAGGAAGGTGGAACAAAGAAAGTAAGAAACAGTGTTGTAGTGAAAGCAATACTAATTTGCGCTGGGGACCGCTCTAAACCGGTCTGCGTAAGGAAGAAAAGAAAACTCAAAACTCTTCCAAAACATCTTTCTTGCTGCCGAAATTGTAGTTGGCCTTGGCCATGTAAGACCGAGGACGAAAAACAAACGAGGCCAAATTGCGACTTGGGGAGTTGGGGGGCAAAGAGGCTTTTATTTTTTTTTCCCATTCGGCTTTGGTTGCTTGCATATAACGAACGTTAAGGAAAACAATAAATGATTTTCTTAAATTATTTTTTTCATAATATTTGGCTGCATTTATAATGGCCGTTAGAATTTAGAAATGAACAATTTTTTGGGCAAAATCTATAATACAATAGAATAAAAAAACATGAACCAGTGATAAAGCTATTTGACATCTTTTAATGTTATATATACACTTTCTGACCTTGTGGAAGGTGTATTAACAAAAAATAATTAGACCATGTGACTTTTTCAATATGATTGGTTGAAATCTAAATTTAATGTATTGTAAATATTGATTAATTATAGAAATGTAATTCCTTCCAACTATCAAAAGCAGAGCTCTTCTATTACACTGGAATATTTTTTCAACTATTCAAGTTTCAGTTTCCAAATTGAGTGAAACACTAAGAAAATTAAGAATTTCATTTACTTGTCAAGGAAACGATAGGTTAATTTTTCTTCATTCTGAGTGCAACCAGGTGCAGCTTTTTTTGTCGTCTTGATCACCTAATTTGACTAATATTAATTAATAAAGCCCAGTTGTGAAAATAAGGTGGAAAATAGTAATTTGCATGCCATCCCGGAAATTTAAAGGACCACAGATCAAAAAAGAAAAAAAAAATAACAATTAACCACTAATTAGTTGAATCTAAATTCCAAGCTGCAATCCCACGCTTTGCAATTTTAGAAGGAATTAACTATAAATGTTTTCTTCGTTTTCTTAAGATTACAGGTTTGGTAATTTTTCCATATATTACTTTATTTATTGCCATAATTCAAATAAATGTTTAACAAAATTTAGTAATTTTCTTCTTAAAACCATAAGTGTAGTAAGACTAGAACTACAAAGAAGGCTATTATTGGCTATTGTGCGAGTTTGACAACAAATTTTGGAGATTATGATGTTGAGCGTATCAACATAGCATCAAAGATCAAAGATATTAGAAAGTAATATCTACGATTCTAAAACCAATACCAAGTTGGGTTTTAGGGTCCCTATCCGTTTTTCAGATTTTGAGAGGGGAAAAGTTGGTTAGTGGAATTTTGGTTTCCATTGGTCAAGATACTTGTACTCTTTTTTTAGATTTATGTAGGATTCATGAAGTATATGTTTGGCATCGATCAGAAAACAGTGCTGCTGATGTATGGTTTGGAGCACCGTTTTTTCAAAAAATGGTGCCTTTATTTTTGTTTGGAATCGTTGCTGCCAGGTTGCACGTTTCCTGGAGCCACATCTTTTTTCTGTTTGGTACAATTGCTCCAGGAAACGTTTTCAGTATTGGTACCCATTATCGAATGCCACATCAGTGCCCTGTTGGCAGCAACGAGCTCTACCTCCAGGAAATGCCACACTTGGCATTGCTCTAAGACATAGTTTTCCGATTTTCGAGGCGTGGCTAAGAGCATCATTTTTTGTGAAAAAACAGTTCCAAACAAATGCCCATTTCCTGGAGCACCATTTTTTTATGTGGTGCTGATGTGGCACCATTGCTCGAGGAAATGGCAACGATGCCAAACAGCCCCAAAAGTTTTATTTTCTTTGGGTATCACTTACGTATACCCATTTTCCATGTAGATCAATAACTTTCTTTGTCAACATTTGGATGAGACAAAATTAATGATTTTTTATGACTAAAACAAGCATTATCTTACGCTTATCTAAATAAACATTTATTAAGAAACATATATTTAGGTAAATACATTTAGTCCTATAACTATTTCCTGAAAAGCGAACAAAACCTTATATAAATCTTTCTCTAGCTAATATCATAGGAAAAATCTATAATGCAATAAAGGATAGTTTTGATACGGAAAGAGTTTTGTTCAATCAAAACTCACCCCTGAATTTTAATAAATTCCACTTGATTGGTTAACATGCTTATGCTTATGGTACCGATTGATAGGTCACAATTTTTTTTGGATATCGTGGTATGGAACCGAATATTATAAACATCAAGTGATTAATTTGCAATGTCGGCAAGTGTCATGCGGAACCTTTTATAATAAGAATAGAAAAGTTAAGTTTATATATTTGGGATTGGGTGGAGAGAGAGAGAGGCAATGACAAGGAGAGGATTTGGTTGGAGGGCCTACCGTGTTGAGGAGCACATGAAATTTCCGGCCATTGCGGTCCCTTGTGTTCATGCATCCTTTTCATGTGTTTTGGAGGCATTCAAAACGCATCCCAATGAAATACAAAATACATATGTCAACTAAAACATAACAGAAAAAATAATAATAATAATAATAATGATAATAAATAAAGCGTGATATGGACAAAAGAAGAAGATGCCTATGGAATTGGAATGGAACCCTCTCCTCAATCCTCTCCTGTCGTTAGTTTAACTTGGAAAGCATCAAAGTGGTGGCTTGATACACGATGATAGAACATCTTTCCCTTCCTACTCTCCTCTTCCTCTTGGAATTTTCCCTTTCCCAGATCTTTCTTTCTTTTGTCCAATTTGATATTGTCTCCTGTCTAAACACAATATCATTGGTTGCATGGATCTTTCTTCAGATCTCTCTCTAATTAATGTGTTGTTTTTATTCAGTGCATTAGAATCATCAACTTTTATGATTAGGATTTTTGTTCTTGAGCAAGATTTACATTTAGTACATCATCTAAACTAAAAGATGTGATTGATCGAACATCATGATGATAAATTGTATTTATAAAATATAAATAAATAAAACTTAATGTAATTAATTGAGATTAAGATTTAATGTCCAGCCAATATTAGTGAATGCATTATAATTAAATTAAATTACCCAAGAGAGACAGTCAAGTCAAGCTTGCAACTTTGCTGCGATATTATGGCGGAAAAACAGGGTGAAATAGCTGATTGCGGAATCAAAGTCTGGAACCGGGATGGATAACACCTATAGTCCTAGACGCCTCTCAGTTTTAAGACTAAATTAACGACTTTTATTTGCCATGGAAAGAGATGTTTTCCAGAAATTGAGACATGACGTACGGCGAGATTAAGTCTAAATTCGTTTCAATGCGGTGCTGGGTCCAGTGCTTACCTTTGAACTTGAATTAACTAGACCGTGTCATGCATGGGCAACCCGACTGCGAGAACTGAGAGGACTAAGCCATTGTTTTTACTTTTTAGGGCTTGGCTTGGCCAACTTGTAGGTACGTAGCAGAGAATAGTAGGCGGCTAGTAGTAGTAGGTAAGGGCGTAGGGAGCCTGAAGCCCCAACGACCCAACCCAACATACCATCATCCTCTGTGCTTCCAACTTGAATTGAAATTACATCCACAAGCCACAAGGGGCATGTGGATTTTATCCAGTAATGTTGTTGGGTAGGAGCCAAGGAAAGTGCCATTCACAAGGAATTGTCTGATAGTCGCCCCACTGCCTCTTCCTCTTGTACAGAAAGACCAGTCGACTTAACTCGGCCCAATACGGGATGGGCCTCCTCTCGCCTCAACCTAGTGCAAGTGGGTCTCGTCTGGACTCGTTGCTTTCAAGTGGCAGTTAACAACATGGTCACGATTGAATGGTAGCCGAAGGCAGTGGGGGGTGGGGGTGGGCCCATGAAAATTGAGGGGGGTGGACAAGATTTAAGCTGAGACAAACAGCGGCCAAACCCTTGCATGTGCATTTCAAATCTGGGGTGGTAGGGCAGACATGATCCTAGTAACGTAACATGTTTGGTCGCCCCACCACTCTACCTTTGTCTGAAATTCTCCTCATGGGATGCTGTCTCACTGCCAAGGAAGGTTGAGATTTGAGAAATCCTTTCTCTCTCTTTCTCTCTCTCTTTTTGTGAAATCAAACAAAATAATTAATATTTATTATTACATATCAAGATAAAAAGGCTCAAGCCTCTCATTCTTTCTCTCTCTCTTATGTATATATAATATATATCTATATATATCTGTATAAATGGTTCCTCTTGAAATTATGAGAAGCCATATATCATGGGGGATGGGGGACCCATACTACTACAAATCCAGTTTCAATTGTTTCTGCTGAGAGTATTCTATTCTGCCACGTTTCCCCTCACCATTTTATGAATTCATCGACACCCTAAAAATTATGGATATTTCTTAGATGATAGAGCCAACCAATA